TCCTCTATTTTATGATATCTTAATTATATATTTACATATAAAGATACAGGGTATTCCAGAACAACAAGTCAATATCTCGTATACACATAGAAAACAAAAAAACAATGCCACAAGTTCCTATAAAAAAATGTCCCACGAGACTGTATTATTCAACGAATTTTTTAGAGTTTAGTAATCTGTTGGAGCCTTTTTTGATAGTGTCCGTAGAAAATAACTAATTCATTTAGATCGCCAGGGACAAACTAGCGCTAATGCAATTTTGCTGATATTGCAACCCCTCCGCAAAAAGTTTGACTTAAATCTGAAGTGGTCTGAAAATTTATAGCCTCAGATTTTTCTTATCGCTAATTAAGAATCTATTATCAGAATTAATATACCAAAATGGCGTAACCAGTATACTGGATCCAGGCCTAAATCAACTGAACTGTACTGAAACTAGAGTGTATTTTTTGAGTCAAAGCCAAACAAGAGTTCCTTGAATTTCAGGTTAATGCTCCCCACTACAGAGAGCATGCTGAGAATTGTAGCGCGATTTACATTTTTCACAGTCACCCCTATGACATGAGTAATAAATAAAAGGGCTTGATGAGGGGAGACACATCCAGTTCTATGTATTTGTATATTCGCAAAATTGCTGTTGTCGGGTGAAACTGTTAAGCAATACCAGATTTAATTTTCTAGTTGCTATTGAGGACATAATCAGAAAAAATGTTAACTCAAAATGTGAGGTGTTTTGAACTTTGAATTTTTTCAAATGCACTTATATGAATTTGTCAGAAGCACCGATTCTATAAGTACGGGAAGTACTTACACAGTGGCTAAAAAAAAATTGAATTTGAGTATTTTGGACGATTTATATGCTCTACGTAGTAGAGTCTTAGTAGGGTCTTTTACTTAAAAATCAGCGCATCGATGGGATAGTTATTAGGGAAAAACCGAAAATGTAGGAAGCATGTTAGCTCCGTTTTTTGTATTTCTCAAGCTTGGCGACTTTCAAGCATTGACACAAGTTTTTTAGGAGGACGCTGACTTTTTATAATTTTAGTCTTTTACCTTTTAAAGTTCCAAATATCACCAGTTCATCATATACAATTTTTATGGTTTACATTTTTAACAAACTTTTATTCAACTGTTTGTTACTACGAGCCCCTTCCCATTTCAGTTGGCCCATTTCAAGATTTGTACCAAAATATGCCTTTATAAACTAAACATGACGAAACTATTTACTTCTAAAGCAATTTATTTCCTCAAAAACATTTTAGATACACTCTAGTCGCAAAAAATACATATTTGAAATCACTTAGACCTATAACTAATAGAACATCTGAACAAAGCAACAATTGAAAGATTACCATTGGTAACATCACCTTCATTTTTTATTACGGCTGAAATTCTTTCGAGCATAGTGTTAACCAAGTTTTTTCAAAAATTTGGTGTAAAACAATCCCATATTTCTTGAAGCTTTTGTCTCAGTTCGGTGATTGTACGAGCAGGATGTTGTCGTAGAACCTTTTTCATCTCGTGCCACAAAGTTTCAATAGGTGACAGATCTGGACTGCTAGAAACCCATTTCAAAACTGGTACATTATTTTCTTCCATCCATTTTATAGCCTTTTTTGAGGTATGGCACGCTGCACCATCTTGCTGAAACACAAAATCTTGGCCGGATGTTAATCATTCTTCCATCACTGGTAAAAGCGATTGTTCTAAAATTGCCAAATATTTGTTTGTATCCTCATTTCCATCAATAAAATGAAGTTTTCCTACTTCTTTTGATGACATACTGCCCCAGACCATAATGGATGCTGGAAATTTCACTTTTCTCTTCAGACAGTCAACATGGAATACCATTGTCTATGTTCTTTAGCCCATCTAAGCCGATTTTTCTTTTGCAGTGGAGTTAATAGTGGCTTTTCTTTGGCCTATTAACAAGTTGTGCAACTTTAGGGTTTTTACTTCACTTTTTTTATAAGAAAACTTACCTTGCAAGTGCTAAATCCCAGTTTGTGGGACTCTCTATGAGTTGTGGACCTCGAAATTCTCCTTCCAACAGCGTCACTCCATAGAGCACTTAATTGTACATAATATGGCACGCCTGTTTTTCACGATTATTCTTAATGCTCTTCGGTCGGCATTTGTGATATTACTTTTTTTCACATATCGTGGCTTAATACGTTACGTTATATCTTCTAACAATATTTCTCACAGTGTACCGCGATAAGTCTAACAAAGTTGCAATTTCTGAGTTTGATTTCCCAGAATTAAACAATTTAATTATCAGTAACCGAATTTTCTCACTACTAAACTTTCCTCTACCCATTTTGAAAACCTTAACTACCCAAAACTATTTTAAGCGTATTCTGACAGCTGTGATTAATAAAAACAATTGTCATGGCTTTGATTTTTCACAGCCACCTATGCGTTATAGAGTTATTTTGCATTGAAATGAAAATAGGTTGATATGCTGTAATTGCAACATGTGTTATTTTTATGCTGCAAATTTGATTAGGGAGTGATAAAGTTGGTGTTTTCTACTATATATTATCAAAATATTCATTGTCAATATTTTAAACCTATAACACCCTGCTACATTTTTATTATTTGTGTTTGATAAGAAAAAAACTAAGATTTCAATAGTTGGGCCAACTGAAGTGGGAAGGGGCTCGTATTTATGTTAGTATGTTCGGGACAAATTTTGGAACTGAATTATGAGACATTTAACCTTAACCTATTGAGCTGAAATTTTGCACACAGGTTTGATTCGTGTGACAATAGAAAATGAAGTAGGTAACTGTTACCATTTTGAATCCATGGGATGATACAAAATGGGATACATCACTTCCACATTGACTCATATAATGCGGATTTCAAAAGAAAGCGATTGATGAGAGAAGCTCAAGAAGCAAAGAGACGTAATTCTGAATTCAATATGGTGGCCATCGCGATTTACATTTTTCATGGCGACCCCTATTATATGGCTATCAAATGAAAGAGCTTTATGAGAGAAACATATCGTCGGCTTTCTCACGAAGTGTCCTAACTAACGGTAAGTGAATTTTACAGGAGAGTAAGAAAACGAAATCAGCGTGTTGTTGATTGAGCATTGTATATAAAGTTTAAATATTTTCGAATTAAAAATTCAAGTGTGTTAGCCTATATTCATTGTGCATCATATGCCATTTCAATATTTGAGGTAGCTTATCAAGTCATTTTGGAAAAAATGGAAAACGCACGTAGGTCACTTCGTGAGCATTTTCAGATTTTTGTCAGATTGAGCTAACATATATTTTGATTGAAGTTCTTGTTATTTATACTTTTTTAAGATATACAGAATTTGTTTCATTTACTTATGAGCAAAGAATCATATTTCCAGCCAAGGGGGCGATTATCTCAGAAAATTTGTTGATTGTCAAATTTTTTAAGCAATCGTTGGTCTGCTGACAGCAAAGTTTATGTAAAAAAGCTCAGATCGACTTTTGAATTTTGGCTACCCCCTAAAATATTTTCCCCAATGTCCATGCCAAAAATGGATGTAGATTATGACAAAAATATTACGTGATTAGAAGAAGAAAAGAACTCGAAACGTCAAAGCAATTTTTATTGAAATAAAAACTAAAAGAAAAGCAACTAACTTAAATATTATATTTTGACATATTACCAGAAAATGTTGATATGTTGTGATACATAAAAAAAGGTAAAATTATCAATAATTCATTCCGTTTCATGGGGCAAATTTTTCAAGAGTTTTGGAATTCTGGTAAGCGTACAAGTAACTGGTGTTTTTTGAATTTCACATAACGAAATTAAGTCGGAGTACTTCTTTTTGTTATTTTTAAGTTGTTCTAGTTTAGTATCATTTATATTATTACTATCTATCATCAGTCTTTTTAACTCAATACTGTCATAACTAGTATAGTGGTGGCTAGACTTAAAAAATATTTTGGTGGGCGTGTCTTTTATTACAATAAACTCCGTTTAATATTTTGCCCTTCCTCAGTTTGCCGTGTAGACAATATTCTTAAACCTTTTGAAAGTTTCTTGAAGTCAAAAAATTCATTGGGAATTACTAAATAAGGTTGACGTTTTCTAGCGAATCGAAAAACCGGATAGAGTTATGAGGGCTCAAAAAGATCTCCAATTCCCTTTATCGCAGCATGAATTGCACTGTGAGCAGATTCTCCCTCACTTTGGCCATGATTCCACCACCGAGGAGCGTATACTAACAAGGATTATTGGACACTAAGGGACTTATCTTCATTTAGGTCTCTTCGTGGGAATCATAAATTTACCTTTGCAGATAAGACATCCAGGGGCTAATGGTGTGTTGCCCACGCTAATAGATATATAGTTATGCTTCTTCGTCAGATTAACCAGCATGGAATAATACACTTATATGCGGGTTATCTCAATTTTTGGTATTTTGTCAGTTAGAACACTTCGTGAGAAAGGCGACGATATGGGTACCAACTGAAGTTGCTTGAAGGGGAACCATACTAAGAAAATTAACGTCATTCTAAATTCAATATGACAGTCACCGCAAAATATCGATTCATCATTATTTAGTTTATATCTATCGAAATTCTACAATACAAATAAAGTAACAAGTTTTGCGGAGTTATTATATAGTTAAATTATATAAAAATAACCAATCTAGCTACTTGACATCATAGATGTCTACTAAAAGTAAAAACATAAAACATAAATTTTTAAAAACGTTTTTATTTGGTTAATGAAGTGAACTAAAAATTTAAATGATGATCTCAAGTTTTCAAATAAATGCGTGTTACTGCAGTATGGAAAAGGGTGTAACACGCCTTCATCTGAAAACTTGAGATGAAGGAACTTCATTATCGTTTAAATATTCCAATCGGAGAAAAATATTTTCAAAATTTTAGTTCACTATATTAACAGCTGAATAGAAGTTTGTTTTTATAAATGTATAATTTTAATTTATTTATTATACATTCTCTGATTTCGGGCTTTATGTTATCGAGACATACCTGCGTCCTGTGATTGGCCGGAACATCCTGGTGCGTCAAGTACCCTTGCGAGGCATGTTGGTTCCTATAAGTCGGTACTGGCACTGCATTGTATTGCGGTTGTTGGTGCTGGTAGTATCCTTGTTGCTGGACCGCATGGACCTGGACCAACACACTGGCAGGCACAAACAAAACTAACAAAAACAACTCCTTCATTTCTGTTGTATCGATGAAAGTGAGGAAATTCTCTTTAAATTTTCTATATATACTTTTCTCCTACTCTATCTCAGTCGGACTGATTGACTTGTGATTATACGTGCGGAGAAAGGTGTCGGCGCCCCGTGTGGTACGTTTGGTTGATATAGTTTAGGTACGGTGCGTTTTGGTAGATGTGGCCAAAATGTACAGGAAGGTTTTAGGTTACTTGGTTTTTGCCACAATCAATAAATCGCCGAAGTTCATAATTTAATAATAATAACAAAAATAATAATGATAAACGTCTTTATTCGCCAAACATCAACCAATAAACATACATTTGTATAAAAAAAGAGCGATAAAAAAATTGCTGTAATCCTACACTGAAGAAAAAAACTAATTAAACCAATTCAAATTTTGATACGGCCAATTAGAAAATTAAATCAACTATGTGACAGATAACAAATTTGATTAGCTTAATAAAACTTCGATTTCTAAAGCAGTTTACCGGACTCTAAGAAACTAGTTTAATTAAACTAAAGCGCAATCGCTTAATTAAATTCTATAAACCGTTTACTTAGATTGTGTACACAGCTTACTTAAATTTATGAGCTATCAAAACGAAATTAGGTTAAAGTTTTTGCCTAGTTTTATTGAATTATTTTATTTAGATTTAATAGTAGAAGCGGATTCTATTTGAGATTTAAAAGGACAAATTGCAATTTACTGAATTATATATATTATAACTGTGCTCTGACAAATCTTAGATATAAAAAAATTGGAAAACTTGGTACTGATATTTAATGTTTTCGAATCAAAATAAAAACTTTAACAGCCCTAACAAAATTCGTTATTTTTATTTTCATTGATGCGAACTTTATAAATGGGATCAGGTTTTACTAATTATTTGTCTGATTTTCTAGAAACAGGTTATAAAATATCACCATTCACTAGAAGCAATTGTTTGTTTTAAATTTATATTTTATAAAGATAAGCCCTGAAGAGCTTGGAAGCGTCAAGCGCTTCAAACCCTTATTTCTTTTGTTATTGCTTATCACATATCAGTTCATGAGTAGCTTGTATCATTGAGCACCGGTGTGCAAGGCTATCAAAGGGGGTGTGTGTGTAAAAAATAGAGTTGCCTCTCAGGCAATTGAAGCCTGATTTTTGCACCCCATGCTGACAGGTATTCCGATATTCCGTCACAAGTCACCTGTATTTTTATGTTATTTTTCCTTCTTGTTTTCAAATTCAAAGTCTTCCTAGACTAGACAGGATAGTCAATAACGTACATTACAGATTCTTCTGTGTTAGGAGCATAATACACACATCCCATTTTGTTTTTATCAATTATTTGCAATTATTTACTGTTCAATCTGAGTCTGCCATCTCTTTCTTGTCAGAAGACCAGTGTTCTCTCAAAATGAATATCTTTCTTGACACCTATCAGGAAAAAAATAGTAGTTTCTTGCCACAGTCCTCATTTGCACTTAATTCATTTCATCCAGGAGTTATATTCGTCCTTTTTTATAGTTGCACTGAGCTTAGGGTTTAGTTCCCTAACAGATATTACTCAGCCATGGATCTTACTGTGCAATGTGCACCCCCAGTTACATTCATTAGACGAAGTCACAAAATCCTTAGTTTCTTAATAAATTACGCAATCCTTTGAAATATTATATTCCTCGTCTTGGACCATGCACAGTCGGTTAGTCTAAGTCTTGTAGGGTGTGCTCTAGATGATCAAGGGCAAGTATTCAAACTACTCTTCCTAGATCTTTCGTTCTCAGTTTTAAATTTTCTGTTAGGTTCGAATCTATTTCATGTGTACTTGTGCCATGTGAAAAATAACAAGACCTCCTTGTGTGAGTGCGATTCTTATAACGTTTAACTACGTATTCTACTCATTTTATTTTTAATATGAACATTAGCTGTAGTATAATGTTATATCTTAATGTACATTGTACTTTTTTGTGCTCTTTGTATTAAAAATGTTGGACGTCTGTGAACAATTTTTATATAGCTGTACTAGATAAAATCATTAGGAGCCAGTCAGCCATCTGTGTTTGTATCCTATATCTGCGTGAGTTCTGCTACACTCTATGAGTGTTTCGTTCAAGGTGTTATGCAATCCTATCTCTCTTGCGAACTTCTACCCTGATACGCCCTAATACACCCTGATACACTCTGATATACCCTGATACAACGACGTCTTGTTTAACATAGTATCGATATTATCGGGGTTTTCACGCTTTTTGACGTCAGTCAAGGCTTTAAGCGTGTCCACTGTAGTACCAATCATCATAGTGTACTTCATATCATAGTACCTGAGCCAATCATTCTCTAGGCAGCTGAAGCACCGTCTTTGAGATTTTTGAGATACTCTTAGTACACTACCCAAAAAAATTAAAGGACAAAGATGAAAATCCAAATTTTTCGGTAATTTTTGAGAGGCGGTATTTCGGTAAAAAATAGTATCTGCCTGTAGACTTAAAAAAACAATTTGAAGTTTTAAGATTCTAGTTTTTAGACTTTTTAGCCGAGAAATTTCAGGAGCAGAGGTTCTCATGCAATTTTTACAAACAGCGCAAGAAAAATTCTTTGCAAATTTTTTGCCTTCTTTTTAGTCCACGGGCTTGAAACACTTTTTTTTCTGTTAGGCCATCATATGGATCGGACAGCCCGTTTATTCAGCTTCGATATTATGTTTTTATACGATCAATTGGAGTGGAGATATCTGACTTTGAATGAAAAAGGATCCTGTCGTCATCGACCACTGATTTGTCGGTAACAAGCATTGGTCGCACAAAGTATTTCCGAAAACTGGAATAAACCATAAAATTTTTCCAGTTGTTTTTGATTGAATTGAGGATGTTACAGATATCTAAGAGTGATAACAAAAGAAGAAAATATATTATATATATATTTGCTAAACAGTGTGTTTATTGGTAAAATAGATTTTACAAAATGAACTTTTACTCAAAACTAGTAACGTAACAAACAAAAGATGATGTTCAACTCTGGACTCGTGCCACTTTTCCCCTGCTTAAAGCGTCTATTGGCGGGTCATCGACATATTCATCACTGCTGTCTTCTGGATGATCAAGAGATATTAACTGTTGATACAATGCACTGGAATCTGCTCTCTCTAGATATTTGGTCAGATCCTGCAGATCCTTCCATTTCATACTTGTAATTGGGATTGGGCCCTGGTAAAGTTTTCTCAATGATTCCTCTTCTCGTTTTGTTGATCTTTTTGCGTCTTTTCTAGATTCTTCCGAATACCTTATCAGATTTAGAACTAGCATATAGGCCCATGTATGTATGTCGATCATCGAGCATCCTGACTTCGTTGGATAAAATGGCGATAAAAACGTACTCCAATCAAAATATTATATATATTATACATTTTGTATAATTTTGCGATATTTAGATTTTCAGATAGTTAAAGTTTTTGCGAATCAGCCAAAGAATAATGAGATTTGCGGCATTTGAGGCTCTTAAAAACTCGGTCCACTTTCTGTTTTGTGTTTTCTGAAAGTTTGTGAAGTCGTGTGTTGTGTTTCCACGCATTCGATGGGCGATTGTCCCAGTGTGCAATTATGAGACTCTTATGTACGAACTCGGACACGTGTAAAGAAAACTAAAAATGAAAGCATTATTAATTTCTTGACTCTGCTTCATTTTTTCCTAGTTCATTAAATTCACAACGAAGAAATTCACAAGAGTCTACAGCGTTCAGGTTCAGGAACAGTAGTAAAACAGCGAAAACGTTCACAAAAACAATCACATCCAGTTCGGGGAGTGCGGAACGTTCCATAGCTCTTTTGTTTTTGCGCGTTTCTGTTTAACGTCTTTTCTACGTCTCTTTGTCTTCCTGTTTCCATATGGACTGATGCCGGTCATACACGCGCAGGGACTCATGCCATTCTTCCCCGGCATCTTATAGCTGTTGTTTTGTGAACCTACGCCCTTTTTACAATCTAAGAAGCTGATTACAAGATAGCATCAGGAAAATGCCATCAAAATAAACTGAAAGCTCAGTTTAGCCAAATAATGGACTAATGCCGTTTTTCCCCGGTACCCTTCAAACATTTTGCTCCTTTGATCTCTGTCAAATTTTGACCAGTCGGTCCGGAGGAGCCGGGGTAAATTGAGGTATAATAAACCTAAAAACGTTAGCCTTCTCATTAGCAGTTCCAAAAATGCGGTAGATTTTCCAAAATAAGGCAAAGGTAACTTTTTTAAAATCAATACTAAGAAAACGAAAAAGGAAGTTATCAAATGCAATCAAATTTTATTGGAGATTTATACCTTTACATTCTTTGTGCGATCACTGGTTATCGAGACATCAGCAGTCTATGCCAAAGGGATCCTTTTTCATTCAAAATCGGATTTCTCTGTGCCGAATGATCGTATCGATATTTTAAAAACACATCATTGAAGCTGAATTTACGTGCTATCCAATCCATGTGATGACCTAACAAAAAACAAATTTGCAAGCCCGATGACTAACAAGGAGTGCAAAAAGTTTGCAAAACATTTCTCTTGCGCTATCTGTTAGAATTCCAAAACTAAAACCCTAGTGCTTCAAAATGCTTTTTTAAAGCCTCGATTTTTTCTTGCTGCCTTAATTTTTTGAGTAGTGTAGACTACTGACTCTAGTAATACTACTCGCCAAAATTGGCCCAGTGTCTTGGGAATGGCGAAAATACGAATAAGGAAAAACCGATGGCATCTGGAGGAGGCGTGGAAAGATAGTTGCGACCTCCGATATACGATCCATACTCGTTCAACACAGTCATATCAGTAGTATACTAGAGACTTTATTGGTGTCGGGCAATTACATGAAGGTGATAGTATTATGTTTGAAGTTTCCTTATTCTATTATGTATGTGTCTGGCAAACCCACTATTATTATGGTGCTGAGAGAGAGGGATGATATTAAATCTCAACGATGAGCTTGCAAAAATCCCTGCAATCTGCGTGGCTAGCATTATATCTCTACCTAAACCTGATATCAAAAACTGAGCTAAACACTGTAAGTGTCCAACCTGAAGTAAATTATTTGAAAAAGTTCAAAATATTTTACAAATTCCTCACGATAAACTATACGCCTAGATTTTCCATTGTATGCAAAAACTATTCTCTCTGTTGCATCATTATTTAATCTGCCGAAGAATAATTTGAAACATCTCAAGCTGACAACCTCTCGATGTTTTGTTTCACATCAATGAATATGTGTTCCATCGATTTCGTATATTTGTGACATTAACTTATTACAAAAATACATCCTAAACATAACTGACTTTCGTAATAGTTACAACGGATTACTATAGCTTCTATATCCGTACGAATGTTTGGCATTTGTACGAATATTTGAATGACAAATACGCGGCAAACGGAATTTAGTTGTTATTTGTAAGTTCAAGAAAAATCTAGAGTGCTTGAAAGATTTGTGATCCTCTGATCCTCCGTACCTCCTGTTAAACACTTTGGGAGATCAAGGATAATTAGGGAATTAAGCATACTGGAGATACTTAGGCAAGTTCAGAAATAGAATAAAATATCTATAATTTCGTGAAAATTGGCAGGTAGGTACAACTAAAAATGAAATTGGAAAAATGTTTTATTTATATTTGTTTTTGTAATAGGTATGCCCTTAGTATGATGTCAGAGATCATAAATTGCCCGAGGACCGCACAGAGAGGGTACCATGATCCAGCCTTCCATACGCCAGGGGTTAGAGTATCGGAATATTTTTGAAATTTTTGTGCATGAATTTGGGAATGCATTGACTCGTAGGTAGATGTTTAATTTCGTTGTCAGTCGAACACGAAGAATTGTGAAAAGGCTTTGAGAACTTATCCAGTGACTGCGGAGTCATAAGCGTTAAACAAGAAAAGACCGCTGAAACCCTATGTGGTAAGTTTGGGGTCACCCTGTATATGAGAAAGAATTACAATGTTGCTAAACCGGCCAGTAGAGATGACGATAAATAAGTAAATAAGAATCAAACACGTAAATAGCGTGTTGTCAACAAAAAATACGCTGTAATAGGGTAAAAGTTTGGTTCTATGAACATTTATGTGTTGAGATCTACAACATACCAGACTTAAAAAAAATAGCGCGAAACAGTTTCCCAGAATATTATGATGGGGCATTTTCAGAACGTTATCAAACTTTGTTTTTAATCATTTTTAGGTGTAATAAAAAATTAGAAACCTCGTAGACATTATTTAGGGGACTCAAATTTTGATAATGTGTTGCTCATTACACTTACCACTAATGATAGATTGAATATTGTCAATTTGTGGAAGGTACTGAATCAATCTATTTGACAGTTATTCTTCAGTGTAAGATAATGTCATGGCCTCATGAGAACTACCAACTTGTATGGAGAATTGGCTATACTATAGGTTCCTTCTTCTCCAATATCTTCATTTTTTATTCTGAACCCATATTAAATTGAATCTTCATTTGCAAACGTAATATTGCTTATTGTTATGCTGCTCGAATTATCATCTAACAAGAGTGAAAGGATCATTACTGTATGCAATTATTCTATACCAAATTATTATGCACACCTAGACATGGAGTTCTTAACAGTTGTGTAGTATCGGATTTAGGGCGGCAGTATTATGTAAGATCGCTCCTTTGTCAGCTCATTTGTGCGACATTGACCCACAAAGGTTTTGACTCTTTAATTCGTCGCAATTCAGCTGACTGAAACCGGATACAGTCTGCTACTACCAACAAATTTAGACTAGGTAGAAAGAGCCAGTTTAGGATTTGTTTCTTCCCTAATTTTCAGAGTAAGTAGTGAGGATCAAAGTGCATATGAGTCTATTTTTGGCAGTTTTGTCATTTAATTCGTATATTTTGCGGGATTTTTGGATTTTTGGTGTTAGACAAGCTCAAGACATGGTAATTCTTACATAATTTGCAAAGAGCCGTACAAACCAAATCAAGGTAGATTTTTCCACTTTCATCATTATTATTATTATTATGTTGATACAACGCTGTCACTTTGGTAGGCATTGGTGGACAAATGAGTCAAAAGTATCCACTAATACTACGCAATTTTGGCGACCAACATAATGTAATGTCGTAATGTAAACATATAGGACTGGCTCCTCCTAATCTATTAGAATTCGTTAGCTACTACCAGTATCACAGAGTGTATCTACGTACTGCCGACTTAGCGGCCAAACGTAACAGATGGCCTTTCAGAGAAGATAGTTAGCTGACTTCATCTCCGGTCCTTCGTCCCACAATATCAACGCGGGTGTGCCCCAGGAATCGGTCTCGGCCCCCACATTGTTTTTATTACATGACTTCCACTCCTGCACGATCAGTTTCATCCACAGCTTTGCCGATGGCAGCACTCTACACGCAGACAGTCAGTGTGGCAACCTATCTCTGCTGATCAGCTAGAAAAAAGAAGACCAGTAGGGACGGCATCTTTAAGTTCCTTATAGCAGCCGCGGTGCCCCGGTATATTGGTTTCTGCCTACGCAACCGCTTCAGTATAAAAAAAATATGTCACTCGCCCTCAACTTCCGCATTAATAATAATAGTACTCTACCAAAACGGAAGAGATCAGCATAACACATCGTAGGTCGCTGTCAGCGCGGCGCTTCTTTGCACGTGCTTTGCACCGGCAAAGACAGTGATGTACAATGTCAAATAATGGCAAAAAATCATCGGTTTCCATAAGAGGAACTGGGACGTGACTACATAAACCAAATTGCATTTTTAAAAGCTAATTCTTTACATCTGTTTTTCGATGATGATGATAAATTTTATCCTTTTTTTTTTCATTCTTGTGTTGGAATTTGTGGTTCGTACATTGATACAGTACTCATTAATATGATTTCATATCATTTATTCTGTTATATTATTTATTATTTGTAGAAGTAGGTTACTATCTAAAATTAACAAAAAGGCGTACCATATCATCAGAAGCTTGATGTGGAATCTACTTTCGGATGATTGACAGAGGATACTTTCTTTCAATACTTTTTGCACCTAGTTTGGTCATGGATGGTTCCTAAGCACGCAACTTTCCGCTGAAATATTTCAATGTCCCCCATATACTATTAGCCAACTTCTCCACAAAAGTCTAACGTGCCCGGTATTTGTATAACTGGTTGCATATGAGTTCGTTTTTGTTTCGTAATTAGTGGTAATTGATCTGAATTTGAATTGCCTTCTAATCACATAACTACAATCAATAAGGAAGATAATTGACAATTAGAATAATGTACTATATCACTCTAGTCTAATTGTTACTTGAAACATTTTCAATTTTAGCTGTTCACCTAATTTGGCGATAAGGACAACATGAAAATGTTGTCCGGTCAATCTTTCAGGCACAGCCATCATATTATAATCATTTCCTTCTGGAGTTTTTTCAATTTTGAAATCCTTAAACCTTTGCTCCACTAATTGTTTCAATTACTTTTTTCACTACTAACCTACTAAATCCCCATTTTTGACCTCATTGGCTTATTGAGAAGTAGCATTTTTCTAACTAGGTAAATAATGAAAAAAAAACACACATAGGTGAATAATAATGTGATTTGAACTTGTATCCTGTCAATTTAAATGTGTCAGTTTGATACCTGAGCTTTGTATTTCGAAATATTTTAGAACAATTGAGGTAAAAGTTATTTTGAGTATAGGTTCTCCATATAGTATTCTTGCTTGAATACCTAATAATCGATATAATCTTCAGGCGCGTATCCCTGCAGGAAAAAATGATGGAAAGGGAAAAGGAGAGACCCAATTGTTTTTTTGTTTGAAAATTTAAATGTGCATTCTGTTCTTATACTGCTGTTTATTATTTCCCGTCTTAATCACTTTATAAGAGCAAACAACTTGACAGTACCCCTACCCCCGGATAGTAGGCAGATAGTAGGTAGGGAAGTGCAAGGTCATAACTAATATATCCGTTATTTTGTATTTTACGTTTCAGAAATTTTTATAGGAATAGCTTTGTCAACACCTTCTTATCCTACAATATTTTCCTCATTTATTTTTGAGCCCTATAATTAGCTACTGAAGAGTGAAGATAAAAATTAAATTAAACTTAATGAGTGGTATAACGATGAACTTCCGGTAGCGGTTGAGCTGGAATAAAAGCAGATGACGACATGCGTCTTTCAGAGGTTAAACTTAACGGCACAATTTGTTCAGGGCGTTGCCGTGGTCTCCATGGAGCAGCATCTGGATATTTTTAGGATAATATTTCCTGCTATAAATAGTTCCTCTTTGACAAGAAAAAATCACACATTGCGAGGAAGCATGGTCGTACGGAGCATAAAGGTCCTGATCAATCATGCTTATTCTGAGCAGTAACTGAAGCCACGTGTGCATAACACGTTAGAGTGAAATTTTCTGTTTTGTTTTAAGGCGCTTAAAATCAGTTAACCAAATAGCTGCCACCTATTGTTATAAGGCTGATTGTGCACCCCAAAGTCACAAGTACATTAGGCATTCCATTCCCATTTTGGCAATGCATTGGACTATGATGATACATGTTACATGTTACAGTCAAAATTCATAAAGTCAAAACCATTTTTGATTACAAAAATCGGTAAATAGTATTTTTGACTAAGGACGTTGGTCCACACCACGTTTTAACTTGGGCATTAGAGATTTTGACTAAATTGTAACTGCTTATGACTGGAGTATCAAATAAAAATCATAGGTGTTTCCGTGGAAACGCTTTATTGTTAAACAAATGGAAATTTTACATAATGTTTACTCGTCATTACAATTTTTAAAGAAAGGAAATGAACATTTTAATTCATTATTAAGATATTCGTCATACAAATAGAACAAATTCTTTATACAATAAAATATTTTATTTGTATTCTGTGTGACAAATAAGAAAATAAGGATATGAAAAGAGAATCAAACAAAAAAGTTAAACTTTTTAGTTAGTTGTTAAACTTAAAATTAAACTTATCGGTTGGTATGAGCTGCTGTATAAATGGTACTACTTGTTTGAACTGCCTAAACTGTTATGACACTTTGTATTATACAACAAACCTTTTTGTCCTGCACAGCATATGTACACGAAAACAGAAGTAGGTTAAAGCCACTGTTGATTGCAAAAATTATTCAAAGCTGTTTTTGATTAAGGACAAATTCGCCCTCTATAAGGGATAATTGACAATACGTCATATTTTTGCTCGTGAAAGTTTTCAAGTTTTTCAATAGAAAACCCGATTTAAAAACATTGATATAGACTCTCGAGGTCAAAGTAATGATCCCCCAGCGTCCCCGATGATGAATGAACCCAGTCAGAAGGAGAGAACAGAAATTACCAAGAAATCAAAGGAATTGATGACACCAGCTGTAGCAGACGAAAAGGACGGAACCTTCCAGCGCCAGACCCTGATCATCGAAAGCCAGGCCCAGCAAATAAAGGAGCTGACTGAGACCATGAAATCAAAGGAATTGATGACACTAGCTGTAGCAATAATAGGAAAAGACGCATCGACAAAACGAACAAAACCGACGAGACGGATGACTTCCCACCTCTTCCAAAAGCAAAATCAAAATTCAAGTTGACAGTCCCCTCAAAACCTTCTGCTTCATTAAACGTATCAACTTCTTCTGCCACTTGTCCTATGACGGTCGATGCAGCGACCACATCTTCTCAATCTTTGGCCACTGCATCGACTGACGGTGCATTATCTCAACAATCTCACGTTGCTGGTGAGTCGACCAGCATAGCATCCCGCCAGGGGCGAATCACGCCCATTGTTTTGCGTGATGCGACCAAGTGGCGACATCTAAACTACAAGTTTATAAGCTTAGGCATTAAGATAGAACGCGCAGTTGCCGTTGATGCGGGAATCAGGATTTTGCCGAAAACTGAGGATGACTACCGAAGAATCGTTCGCCTGTTAAGGGAGGAGGACGTGCCCCATCATACGTTCCCTCTTCCTTCAGAACGAAATATTCACGCGGTAGTCAGAGGCATACCCGCAATGTTTTCGGAACAGGAGATCAAAGGGGAATTAGAACAGAGGGGATATACTCATCTCCACATTATCCGACTCAAACGCAGTGGCGGCGCACCCATGCCTTTGGTGGTCGTGATACTGCCCAAGATTGAAAAGTCCCAGCTGTTCAATGAACATGAGCTGCTGGGTCTAGCAATCAGAGTTGAAGTTCAAAAGAACTCTAGACTTATTGGGCAGTGTCACCACTGCCAAAGGTATAGTCATGCGCAGTCTTATTGCACAGCACCTCCCAAATGTTTAAAATGTGCTTCCGACCACATGACACATTTATGCCCCCTCACAGGACAAGAGGAGCGAAAGTGTGCGAACTGTGGAGGGGCGCATCCCGCTAACAGTCCACTTGCAGATTCACCCCCAGGCGAAACCTGGAAGTCCTGGACCTAGCAACTGCGCTTAGGTCCCTTCAACAAATAATAAGTCCCCCGATTAGCGCCACTCAGGCATTGCAGGCGATCTTTCCGCAGCCATTTAATGGCTAAGTACAATAGACAACCTGCATTTATCATCTGTCAGGTATCTTGGAGTCATCATTGACAAGGGATTGACCTGGCAGAAACATACTGATATTTTGAAAACAAAATTCCAAATAACCTTTCGGCAGCTTTATCCTCTGTTGTGCAGAAATTCAAAATTAAGTTTGATCAACAAGATTCGGTTGTATAAAATGGTCAAAGACCCAAAATCACCTACGCATGCGAGACTTGGTGTTTTCTTGCCAAGACGCACATTCAGAGACTGCAAATCCTACAAAACAGAACCCTACGCACAATTACTAACGCCCCTTGGTACTTGTCAAATGAGACTATTCACAGAGATCTTCATATCCTATATTTAAGGGATTACGTAAAACAACAGGCGCAGTGGCGTTATAATCAAGCGGAATCGCACAGCAACCCTCTGTTGCGTGATTCAGTAGACTACACAGTCGAGCAAGTTCACAAACATTCCAGGCCGCGCCTCGCACTGTGATCAAAATTAAATTGTAAATTCAGACCAGCCAAAATTATTTCAGTATACAAAACCGATCAAAATTATTTTTTGGAGTTACAAAATAATTCGCTCTATTTCTTCCTTCCTTTCTTTCCTTCTTTCCCTTTTCCCCTTAAACATGTTTGGTATCTGGGTAGCCAGACCTGACAGACTAACAGACCGACGAGACTGTTAACTAAGAGCAAAGGTCCACCGGACCGCTCTGACGAATAATGACGAATAGTAGATTAAGGACAACGGTCAATACTATTTATTACTGATTTTTGCAGTGGAAAGTGGTTTTGACCGGTTCTGAGTTTTGACTGTAATATATATTTATGCATGATAATGAAATAAATTCTAAGGACAACTGGAGTCGAGACAAACAAGATTTACGCATCATCTCAGAACAATAGTGGCATCAAACTGTATTAGTTGAAATAGGTCAAACGACATCGGAATGTGGATTAGACATGGAGTTCGAGTGGAGTTCGAGTTGCGTGTTATTCCCGGTCCTGATTAATCTGTATTTGGAGTATATTTTAGAAAAGCTTTACATGAAGCCCACGATGGATTGCATCAAGACCAACGGAACGACGATCAACAACTGGTACGCTGACGATACAGCAAGTAGCAAAACAAAATACGAGTATAATGCATATTCTACATATTTAAAAGAGGAAGAATGCTTCGACTACAAAAGATTCCTAACTCCAATGAACCAGATAAATACAATATCCTTGCAGTAGAAACAAAAGTTTTTGAATGAGTGCCGTACAGATCATCTGATTTTGCTGAATTATGGTATTTTTCCAAAGTCATAACAATGATCTAGAACTTCTCTTTGAGATGTGTCTCTATAGGTTGAAGTTTTTATGAAATATTAAAAGCTTGAGACATAATGACTTGAAAGATTTATATAATTGGGTATACTTTCAAGTTAGGTGATTCAAAGCAGTTAGATACTATATTGGGAAACAGTATGGATTTGTATAGATCACTCGTGTATCCAGGAGGGTTAGAGGCTCAAGACCTCACTCCAGAATTCACCAGCCTGATACTTTTTTTCTTAAATACTACAACATGCTATAAATTTTGCGAAATGTAAGACCCTCCCTAGGCGAACCGAAGTTTTTCTCCTTTATTCTTTATTAACGCAATAGTACGCGTTGAAAAATATATAAATAAGCTATAATATGAATAAAATGCATAAAAATATAAATAAAAATCAATATAAATGTAACAATACATATAAATAATATAATAATAATATATTTTTGAGACCCCGTCCATTCGTTATTAGAAGCGCTGATGCAGCCCTTGTTCTTCATCCTGAAATATTTCCTAAGTCCTCCCCACAATTTTTTTCTGGATGTGCGAGTAGTATGGAAATTATACATTATACGAGCCCCTTCCCACTTCAGTTGGCCCAACTATTGAAATCTTAGTTTTTTTCTTATCAAACACAAATAATGAAAATATAGCAGGGTGTTATAGGTTTAAAATATTAACAATGAATATTTTGATAATATATAGTAGAAAACACCAACTTTGCAGCATAAAAATAACACATGATGCAATTACAGCATATCAACTTATTTTCATTTCAATGCAAAATAAGTCTATAACGCATAGGTGGGTGTGAAAAATAAAGCCATGACAATTGTTTTTATTAATCACAGCTGTCAGAATACGTTTAAAATAGTTTCGGGTAGTTAAGGTTTTCAAAATGGGTAGAGAAAAGGTTATTAGTGAGAAAATTCGGTTAGTGATAATTAATTTTTTTAATTCTGGGAAATCAAACTCAGAAATTGCAACTTTGTTAGACTTATCGCGGTACAGTGTGAGAAATATTGTTAGAAGATATAACGTAACTGGTTCAGTTAATATTAAGCCACGATATGTGAAAAAAAGTAATATCACAAATGCCGACCGTTGAGCATTAAGAATAATCTTGAAAAACAAGCGTGCCAATTATTTACAATTAAGTGCTCTGTGGAGTGACTCTGTTGGAAGGAGAATTTCGAGGTCCACAACTCATAGAAAGGCCCACAAACTGGGATTTAGCACTTGTAAGGTAAGTTTTCTTATAAAAAAAAGTGAAGTAAAAACCCTAAAGTTGCACAACTTGTTCATAGGCCAAAGAAAAGCCACTATTAACTCCACTTCAAAAGAAAAATCGGCTTAGATGGGCTAAAGAACAGAGACAATGGACACCTCAACAATGGTGTGCAATACAATGGAGTGATGAGGCCCGATTCGAAGTTTGTGTTGGTGACAGTCGCAGTAGAGTTATTCGCAAAAAAATGAAGCATTCCATGTTGACTGTCTGAAGAGAAAAGTGAAATTTCCAGCATCCATTATGGTCTGGGGCAGTATGTCATCAAAAAGAGTAGGAAAACTTCATTTTATTGATGGAAATGTGGATAGGTACACACAAATATTTGGCAATTTTAGATGAATCGCTTTTACCGGTGATGGAAGAATCTTTGACACCCGGCCAAGATTTTGTGTTTCAGCAAGATGGTGCAGCGTGCCATACCTCAAAAAAGGCTATAAAATGGATAGAAGAAAATAATGTACCACTTTTGAAATGGGTTTCTAGCAGTCCAGATCTGTCACCTATTGAAACTTTGTGGCACGAGATGAAAAAGGTTCTACGATAACATCCTGTTCGTACAATCACCGAACTGAGACAAAAGCTTCAAGAAATATCGGATTGTTTTACACCAAATGTTTGCCAAAACTTGGTTAACACTATGCCCCAAAGAATTTCAGCCGGAATAAAAAATAAAGGTGATAATGGTAATCTTTCAATTGTTGCTTTGTTAACTTTATTTATTAGCACATTGTTTATTTGTTCAGATGCTCTATTAGTTATAGGTCCAAGTGATTTCAAATATGTATTTTTTACGACTAGAGTGTATCTAAAATGTTTTTGAGAAAATAAATTGTTTTAGAAGTAAATAGTTTCGTCATTTTTAGTTTATAAAGGCATATTTTGGTACAAATCTTGAAGTGGGCCAACTGAATTAGAAAGGGGCTCATAGTAACGTATTGTAGCAGTTGTTAAAATAATATTCAAACAATAAATGAAAGGAGGTGATTAGAAATGAAGAAATACTAGAATTCGTTATTTTACGCTATGTTACTGGTTATCATTTATAATAAACAACCTATAGGCGGATGCGTAAATAGAAAATAAAGAGGATATTACTCGTTTGTTCATGACGATGCTATTTAAATCATGTTAAGTTTTGTGTTAAAGATAAAAATGACTAGAAATCGTCATTTTTAAATCAATCCATACACATCAAGGTGTATCATTACCTAAAATGGACAGCAGTCTTGCGGCAATAAATGTGTAGGTTAGCGATCTCAACACGTCACACAAGAGTAGTGTGAAACCTTCGATATTGCCCACGCCATACTCGTACATGGAATGAGGTGGAAAAATTACTATCGGTTTTGTCTAGTTTATAGATTTTTGTGGAATGTAGAATATGCCGTAAAATACTTTCATTTCTAGTAGAACAATATGGTCAGATATTACTTATTTTGTTCCAATGTAACAGGACGATTCCTAAACACTTGCCTAAGATTGAGGGGAGATTGTTTGGACTATTTGGCCATTTTATCGTCTGACGGTTTTCAAAAAACAAATTCGTTACGAAAACATTGGTTAAATGTTTCCGAAAATGGCAAAAATGTCACACGTGCTAAATATAAAAAAAAATCCGTTCAAAATAACTTACCTCGATCTAGAATGCAATAAGTATGTGCTACCTCCTTGTAATAGACTATCGAATTATTTCAAATACGCTTTAATGATTCATTGTTGTTGCGTCTAACAATTGCCATATTGTTACTCGTGATTTAGATTATCCTCTAGAGCAGTGCTCGCCAACCCGTCGATCGCGAGTTACCGGTAGCACTGTAAAGGTAATTCTGGTGGCTCACAACGTATTTTAAAAGGTGTAAAAATCATAGAAGCTTCCGTCAATTTTGAAAATTCTCATAATAAACACAAGCAGCGACAACACTGTGGTGAGCGATCTGTTCGAGAACGATCTCGATTACTTTGAACGGAATAAATACGCAACGCGCGGCGAGTATCCGCTCAGTTTAAAACTGAACGGCACAAAGTCCAGCGGTTGGGTTAGAGTTGGCCTGCCATTAAAAACATTATGAGCAGTAGTAAGAAGATCAAGACATACCATTTCCATCGGAATAGGAAGAACAATATTTCTTTACAGAAGTAAAAGGTAAAAATGTATGTTTGTTATGCAATACATTTGTTTCCGTTGCTAAAAAAGGGAATATCGAGAGGCACTATAAAACTGTACATTCGAATTTTGAAAAATCATTCCCAATACGTTCTGCAACCAGAACGGAAAAACTGAAACAATTAAAAAATCAGTTAATTGGACAGCAGACAATGTTTTTAAAAACAATCCACAAAAGTAAGGCTGCAACTGAAGCATCATACCGTGTGTCCCAAATAATTACACAAAAGAAGACAACTTATGAAAACGGGGAAATGATGAAACAGGCGTTTTTAGAAGCTGCAGATTCATTATTTGCCAACTTTAGAAATAACGACGAGATAGTGTCTGCTATAAAATCTATGCAACTTTCTGCTAATACAGTGATGAGACGAATAGAAGTAATGAGGAATGATATAGTATTACAGTTAAGAAATGACTTCGATATCTGTTTATTTTTCACTGCAGCTGGATGAATCCTCAGATGGCCTTGTTCGTCAGGATGGTTTTTAGTGATTTTACGATTAAAGAAGATCTTTTGAAGATTATTCCGCTAAAAGGACAGACTACTGGGCAGGACTTGTTTTCTTCCTTTAAAAATATTATTTCTCGTGGGGTTATGTCGTAAAGATTAAAGTTTTCCGCAATTTCTCTGTTACCACTGCATTATTCGTCAGCAAGCGTTACGTGGACATTTTCTAAAACTAAAAAAGGTTATGAAATTTTTAGTAAAAATTGTGAACAAGATTAGAGCTCAAGCGTCACAAAGTACATTATTCAAAACCTTGGCCGATGAAATTGACTGTCAATACGGGGAACTACTTCTTCGCTCTGAAGTCCGATGGTTAAGTAGGGGACGAGTGCTGAAACGTTTTAATGATATCTGCCATAGTTTAATTTTTCAAACAACGTGATGAACCGATTCCGGAACTGGACAATTCAATCTGGCTTCGAGATTTTGGTTTTCTTGTGGATATTACAGAAAAATTAAATGAACTTAATTTGCAGCTTCAGGGGAGAGACAAGGAACCAGCAGAAATGAATTGTTCATCAAAAAGCTTGAGTTTTGAGAACAAAACTTAATCGATGGCGATACGAGGCATTTTCCTGTTCTTTTCAGAAAAGATATCTCAAAGTCCATTAGAACCATATGACAGTAAATCTCATGTAGAAAAAGTCTCGAACTTGAAGGATAACTTCAAAAAACGTTTCAAGGATTTCAACGAAATCGCTATAGTGGCGAAATTTGTTGTTTCACCCTTCATGGAAATTGATATCCAACAGTTTGTAACTTCTGTTACGCAGAATTTTAGCGAAGACATCGCTGCGACAGAAATAGAAGTGATTGCGTTTCAAAATGATTTAGCTTTAAAATCATTAGTCTCAAATACAAAATGTATCTGGCCTTCAGCAAGTAAAGATAAATATTCTGTCGTGTTGCATTGAAAGTGAAAGCGTTATTTAGATCAACCAATTTGTGTGAATCTTTTTTTTCAAATATAAAGTTTATTAAAAACAAGTACCGTAATCGACTTACAGATGAACATTTAGATAATTGTATTCGAATGGCGGTATCAAATTATACTCCATACATGAAAAAATTGTCAGTAACTCTGAGTGACACGCTTCTCATTGAACACGCATTTATTATCTGGACGTGTTTTTGTTTAAGATAGTGCGTTGCTTTTTTTATTTTTATTTACCTACGAGTATATTAAATCGTATGTGACATGCCATTGTAACTGTCGAAAAATTTTGTTTATTTTTCAAACACCTACGATTGGTAGTAATGGATGTAGTTATGTACTATGTATTAGTTATTAGTTTATTTAAGTTTAGTATGTATTAGTAAAATAAACACATATATGTATGTATGTCGCATACAACTGTGTATAATTTCTTTAAAGTTGGCTTACATTGCTTACGACTAGGTAGCTCACTGTTCATTCCAAAATTATCAAAGTAGCTCATCACACTGAAAAGGTTGGCGATCACAGCTCTATAGCGACATTCAGGGCCAAGTGGAAAATTTGGAGTCTGATTTTTAAAATTATTGTTTGTTTATCTTCGAAACGATTCGCCTTTTCAATAGTTGTTAAGTGATAAAACGGATTTGCAGTTGTCCAAGGAATCATTGGTTACTATGATGATTGACGAATGACGAGTGTTTGTACATAACTAGATGGGCGGACATCAGTGAATTTCTTGCTTAAAAGATAATAAACCCTTACGAAATACCTCACTGAATGATTTATACAAATTACCTAATGTGACTCAAAAGATGAGCTTGACCTGAAATACTGTAGCTGCTGGATCATATCAATCCAGTTCAATTAGTTTATTAATAAAAAAAACTACAATACATAGATATTGGATAGATAACATGTACAAGGGATTTTGATCGTAAATAGATATGTATATAATGCATAATCGATCTGAAGGATTTGCAGGTTCTAGTTTCATAGCTATGAATGTCAGAATTTTGTTCATACAATTCGGAGCTTTGCGTTGCAGATACAGAAATCTGTATGTAAAGAGATGATAGATTTAAAACTCTGTTACATAAGCAGTGATGGCGAATTTCTCCATTTTTGTAGTGTTCGACAGATCAATAAGGTCGGAATCTACTTTAACAGAAATACTATTGGAATTTCTCCCTGTTAGATCCTGACTCAGCACAAAACTTCATCGCTATTGTCTTGCTGCCGTTCACAGTCAAGAAGTTGTTTCTACACCCAGACGTAAATTCAGCAGTAATTACATTCATCTTGTGATTCAGTTCTTCTTGTTTTTTGGCGCGCAATTCAAACTCTCCTTCATAAAGCGTAGCACTTTCTGAATAGGTATGCTAGAAATACTCATCAGGCTTCTGCCCTTCCTCTCCAGCTCAGCTATTCTCTGTACATCAGTATCAAAGTTCTGCAACTTGTCCTTTGAATACAAAATATGGGCGAAGCTACTAAAAACTGCTCCTGTAGTTGGCTTCAAAGTTCGAAGTATTTGGGCTTATCTGAAAATAAGTCGTGGTATATTTAAAATGCTTCGACGTGAACTTGAACTATTTCAAGTATTTGGATTTAAAAATTTTCTGATATGTGACTCTTTCAAAGCATTTTGCAGGGAGGAGGTATCTTTAGCCTACCCCGGATTGTTTTTTTTTTGACGGAATCATACGTACATGCTTCAATTATGTACGATTTTTCACTAGTTCATCTTTCAACAACTCTTACTTCCTTTGCAGCGTCGAAGGTAGAACAGCATTAAAATCCTAAGAATAAACCTATCGTCGCTTAGCATCAGACAGTAGCATTGATCAATGTATGCTACCAGAAGATAGCCAACCTAATACTGTATTTCGGCTTCTAAAAAATTATCCGATATGAAATGAGATACCATTGCATCATCTATGAGAATTTTTCAGTAATGTATTCTAGCTGTGTAGTAGATATGGTCTACATGAAATTGAACAAAATCAATATGCTTTGTTTCCAACCAAATGGCAAGTAGACCACATCTACTATACAGCTAGAACCGTCGCCATCTAGGTCACGAGGTGACTGAGACTCCATTCGCAGACTGAGGTCTATACAGTCCCAACCGGTTGGTTGCGATTCACTGTTTCGCAGTGGCGCTAGATGGCGTGTCGCGCTCTGTTATTTCGAACACTTCGTAGTATTAAGTAACTTATAAAATACTTTTCTTTATGGCGGAGTTAAACATTATTTATAAATTCATTTCATTACACTCTTCAGAATCGCCTTGCACAGAACAAGGCTCCATAATACAAGGCCAATTCAATCAATCAGTTGTTCAATTTAAAACCAATATTTTGATAAAAATATCTGCTTGTATTACTCAACGGCATGTAATGAAATATATACAATAATATAATCATTACTTTAACGTTATTCGTAAAACTAAGAATGTATTCGTGGAGATATTTTAAAAATAATTTTAATGAGTTTCAGATCGATATCAAATAAATTGCCAATATGTATGTGTCTATAATGATATACTTCATCAAATTGTATTTGAAAAACATCAAAATATAAACCAAAAAGGCAGATAGCGCTTTGCGATGTCTTATATCAAAAAATAAATAAATCATCCTACGAGTATATGATCTTAAAATTATCATGTAAAATCAATAACACAAAAAAATAGGCAAATAATATTCCAGATTATTAAAAGAAAACGCTGTAATACAATGCATTTCATACCAACGAGCAGACGCCGTGAGCATATCTTCTCAAGTTATAGTAGCATGAGTTCGATCTGTGTATAGTAATTGGTCGGGATTTGTTAACTTATGGCAAATTTTTAATAATTGGCTTTACGAAGAGCATGGCCTTTAATGTAGTCTGACATCCACGTAATTGTGAAATCAGTAAGAGACCCAGCAAAAACATATATACTAAGTGATATATAAATCCGAACACCCAGTTTAAATGGTTTTATTTTAATAAAATTTTGTATAAGTACTTAATGAAGCATAATAAGTAAATGATAAAAATTTCAAAATGATTGCACTGCTTTAAAGCCCTTTGACCTTTAATAATGTGTGGATGCACCCTGATGTGCTACGCATTCTCCAACGCGCCTAGGCATGCTTCTGATCAGGTGGTCAATGTCCTCCTGTGGTATCTCATTCCAGGCAACCACCAACTCCTCTCGAAGTGCTTCTAGAGTCTGAGGAGGACGTTGCAAATTGAGCAATCTCCTACCCATCATATCCCACACGTGCTCAATTGGGGATAAGTCGGGAGATCTTGGTGGCCATGGTAACAATGTGACATCATTATGTTGAAAGAAGTCTATTGTGACTCTTGCAACATGTGGTCGGGCATTATGTTGTTGGAAATTTGGATCTGCCAGGGTGTCAAGATAGGGTAAAAGATGGGGTTCTAGAACTTCGTGTGGATATAACGCTGCGCGTTCATGTTAGCTCTGATGAAGATTAAAGGTGACCTGGAACCATAAGCTATAGCACCCCAAACCATAACTCCAACAGTGTGATGAACATGTCTTTCAACAAAAAACTGTGGATTCCTCCTTTCACCACGTCGCCTTCTAACCCTGGCACGACCATCGTACATGCCTAAACAAAATCGAGACTCGTCACTAAAGACAATACTGTTCCATTCCTGATCCCAGAGTGACCGTTGTCTGCACCTCTCAAGGCGATTACGTCGGTGTTCTCGAGTTAAAGGGAGGACCCAGTGTGGCCGGTATGAAAACAAGCCAAAACTTCTCATTCGTCGGTAAACACTTCGCATGCCAATAGGTCTTCCGTTTTCTGCAAACCATTCATTTGCAATGGGCCTGGTAGTGGAGAAACGGTCCCTTAAGGCTAATAATCTTAGGCGGCGATCTTCACGGTCTGTTGTTCTACGGCGGCGTCCAGTGCCCCTTGCTCTTTGCGTACGGCCTTCTTGAAGCCATGCCTGACAACACCTAACCACAGTGTCTACACTTCTTTGCACTCTAACTGCAATTGCCCGAAAAGAAAGTCCAGCTTCCCGAAGTCCCACTATACGGCCCCTATTAAACTCACTAAGTTGACGAAATCGTACAGGTCTCCGTCCTCTAGGCATCGTAACCGATCGTAAAGGATGTCAAGAACCAAAATCCGCCAACGTTTATTCTTTACTGCGGCTGAAATATTCATTTTTAGAGCGTTAGTGAATTAAAAAAAAACAGTATAAAAACCGGAATGTCCAACTGATAAGGCTGACAATTTTTTCACTTGTTATTTACAGTAAGATAAATACATTCACCAACTTTTATTAAAATAAAACCATTTAAACTGGGTGTTCGGATTTATATGTCACTTAGTACGAGTATATATTGAACAATTTAAAAAAAAGTTTGTTTCTCAGAGCAATACGCCATCCATGCATGTCTGGACCACTATGTATATGTGACAGAATTGCAATGTTGTTGAACCGGCCAATATGAATGATAAAAACGTGAATAGATATCGAAACAGTTATTACATATCGTGTAAGGTTTCTGTAGGGTCTTTTGAGAACACATAAACCCTACCTTTATAAAATGAGCAGAACTTGGGTAATCGAAAAAAGCTCCTGCATCGCTACAAAAAAACGACGCGAAGTCAAAGCAGCAAATAAAGATACTTATACCCATATTTTGATCACTATTTCATAAATATTAGGTACCTACTGACTCAAATTACTCGACACCATTTTTTGCTTTTATGGCTAATAGGTATATCCGATCCGTGAATAAAACCGTGTAATCAAATCATAGATAGATTCCATCATAGACTTGGCGTGGAATTGTAATGCATGAATCATTCGCTCCAAAAAAGCATAGGCTCCAACCTACCCACAACGAAAAACGTTTATGAACGTAAGTTTCTCTCGCATACCTATGACTGTTTCAATTGGTCATGCATACGCGGGAGTTTGAAATGCATGAGAAAA